TTGGGAAGGAAAAGTGGGATTCTGGGCAGAAAAGGACCTCTGGAATTCTCTGGGCCATCCCAAGACGTGGAATCCTTGGGAAGAGCTGAGAACCACACCCCAAATGTGAGGGATAGGCCGCTGGGAGGGAGATCCAGGCAGCTTTCCCGCCTGGAATTCCAAGTTTTAAGGCCTGTCTCCACATTCCTGGTCCTCGCAGGCTTCCCCCCCCGGGAAAGAGGGGTTGGGATTTATCCTGCAGGCCGAATTCCCACCAGGAAGCCCCCACCCTTTAGCTGGAATCATCCTCCCCTTGGCCTCCTTCTCCCACATCCCACCCGGAATCCTTGGGAAGAGCCGAGAACTGTGAGGGATAAGCCGCTGGCAGAGAGATCCAGGCAGCTTTCCCACCTGGAATTCCCAGTTTTAAAACCTGTCTCCACATTCCTGGTCCTCTCAGGCTTTCCCCTTCTGCTCTTCCCACACCACCCGGAGCCCTTATTCCCACCGGGAATGAGTTCCCCCCTCATCCTCACGTTCCACGATATTCCAAACAAATCGTCTGGGAAGAGCTGATGCCAGATTTGAGTGGAAATTTGGGAAAATCTTTCTGATCCAGGGATTCCATCCCATCCCAGATGTAGGACAGCCACATCCCTCCATCCTGGAGATCCTGCATCCCGCGGGAAGGCCGAATTCCAGCGGCGGATCCACGTCATGGAATCGCTGAGCTCAAAACCCCTCAGGCCTCCGGGTCTTCGTTTGTTGTCGATCCAAGAAATTTTGGCTCCACGCGAAGCTTTTTTTGGGGAATTAATAATTTTCCAGAGGGCCCAGAGGAGCTGAATTCCAGCTGGGATAGATTTTAATGGGAATCAGTGGCCTGGAAAACACTCACTGTTTGGGTTTTTTTCCCCCCTTTTCTGTTTTTAGGGCTATCGGGGACTTCCGGGAGCCAAAGGAGAAAGAGTAAGGACATTCCAGAGGGGGAATTTTTGGGATGGGGGTGGGGGGAAAAAAGGTTTCCAGGGTTTTCCAGGGAATTGTTTAAATGAGTCAGAGATCCGACGAGGCAGGGGCATAAACGGGGAAAAAACTTGGACAATGTTTTCGGGCACAGGGTAGGAATTCTTGGGATCGGGGATTTGGACTTGATTGTCATTCCAGCTCGGGGTATTCCATGATTCCACGATTCTGTGGGATGTTTATACGTGTTTTCCAATGTCTGGAGCTTCAGGAATTTTGTAGGATTATATTGGGGCAGTTTAGCTCTAAACAGGGTTCCCAGGATGCAAATCCTTTCCGTAGGAGGGGACTTTAAATCCTGCTTTCCATCCATGGTGTTGTGCCTGGATTAAGATCCCACTGCCAATGGAATCTTTAGGATTTGAGGTCCAGGATTTCCTGTGTGTCCCTCTTGTCCTTTAAATCCTGCTTTCCATCCATGGTGTTGTTTGCTATCCCTGTTCCTTGGATTAAGATCCCACTGCCAACGGAATCTTCGGGATCTGAGGTCCAGGACTTCCTGTGTGTCCCTCTTGTCCTTTAAATCCTGCTTTCCATCCATGGTGTTGTGCCTGGATTAAGATCCCACTGCCAATGGAATCTTTAGGATTTGAGGTCCAGGATTTCCTGTGTGTCCCTCTTGTCCTTTAAATCCTGCTTTCCATCCATGGTGTTGTTTGCTATCCCTGTTCCTTGGATTAAGATCCCACTGCCAACGGAATCTTCGGGATCTGAGGTCCAGGACTCCCTGTGTGTCCCTCTTGTCCTTGCTCAGGCCTTTGGGAGATGTTTTTCCTTTTGTCCCATTGGAGTTTCCCTTGGAACAACTTCTTTCACTCCCCGAAAAACCTGGATCCACCCCCTCCATGTTGTGTCTGAAATTAGGAGAAGACAACCCACAGATCCCAAAATCCTTCTTGGGATCTCCACCACTCCAAACCCCCTTTGTTGATCCCATCCCTGCACAGGACAAGATTCCAGGTGATGGGACACAAATCCCTTCCTTAGGAGAGGACTTTAAATCCTACTTTCCATCCATGGTGTTGTGCCTGGATTAAGATCCCAATGCCAATGGAATCTTCGGGATTTGAGGTCCAGGACTCCCTGTGTGTCCCTCTTGTCTTTGCTCAGGCATTTGGGAGATGTTTTTCCTTCTGTCCCATTGGAGTTTCCCTTGGAACAACTTCTTTCACTCCCAGAAAAACCTGGATCCATCCCCTCTGTGTTCTAGATGGAATTAGGAGAAGACAACCCACAGATCCCAAACTCATTTTTTGGGATCTCCACCACTCCAAACCCCCTTTGTTGATCCCATCCCTGCACTGGACAAGATTCCAGGTGATGGGATGCAAATCCCTTCCTTAGGAGAGGACTTTAAATCCTGCTTTCCATCCGTGGTGTTGTGCCTGGATTAAGATCCCACTGCCAACGGAATCTTCGGGATCTGAGGTCCAGGACTCCCTGTGTGTCCCTCTTGTCCTTGCTCAGGCATTTGGGAGATGTTTTTCCTTCTGTCCCATTGGAGTTTCCCTCGGAACAACTCCCAGAAAAACCTGGATCCATCCCCTCTGTGTTCTAGGTGGAATTAGGAGAAGACAACCCACAGATCCCAAACTCCTTCCTGGGAATCTCCACCACTCCAAACCCCCTTTGTTGATCCCATCCCTGCCCAGGACACCCCTCTCCAGGGCTGGAATTTTGCCTGGCCCATAAATTTTGACGGGATCCACCAAAACCCCAAGGAAAAGTCATTTCTGGGGAAAACTATTTGTCCCTGGGGGGGGCGAGGGGCCCCCAAAAAAATCCCTCCTGCCAATTAAGGCCGGAAGAAAAATTTCCCTCCCCGATTTCGGGGGGGAATGACCCCAAATTTTGCCCCAATCGCCCAATTTTCCAGAAGCCCCGAGCGGGTCCGAACGAAAAATAACAGCCGGAAAAATTCGCTGCTGGAAAAAAAAAAAAAAAAAAAAAAGGCTGAACTCGTCGTGCCTGGTGGGTTTTTTGTTAGAAAATGAGATTTTAGAGAGAAAAAAAAAAACAACAAAACAAAACTCAAATGACGACTCTGCCTTTTGAGTCATGAGATGATGAGATGATGAAAGGCCCCGATTTTTTTATTCTTTTATTTTTTTTTATTTTTTTTTTGCTCTCCGAGGAAGCTGCTTTTTTTTTAAAAAAAAAAAAAGAGAGGAATTCGCTCTCTCTCCCGGAGACCAATCAATCCTTAATTTTCCTCTCCCGGAGACCAATCATTCCTTAATTTTCCTCTCCCGGAGACCAATCATTCCTTAATTTTCCTCTCCCGGAGGCCAATCGACCCTTAATTTGCCTCTTTGAAAAGGGCTGAAGGAATGTGTGATGCGTTTTTTCCTTTAACAAAAGATGAGGTGGAATCCGAGATAAAACAGGAGCCGGGAGGAGGAGGAGGAGGGATAATTGGGATAATTGGCGCGGGGTTGGTTCTTTCTCGGCTTTGCTTCGTATCCTGCCTTGATCCAACAGGGAATGTGAATGCCGGGGTTTGTGGTGTAAACGGAGGGATTTTTATCCTCCCTTTTGTTCCCCAGAATTCCTCCTGTGTTTAAAAGAGACCCTCTGGAGCTGGGAAGCAGGAGGGGATGTTAAACCCTGGGATATTAAGCCGGGATATTAAACCCTGGGATATGAAACGGGGATATTAAATCGGGATATTAATCCAGGATATTAAACCCTTGGATATTAAACTGGGATATTAAACCCTGGGATATTAAACCGGGATATTAAACCCTGGGATATTAAACCAGGATATTAAACCCTGGGATATGAAACTGGGATATTAAATCGGGATATTAATCCAGGATATTAAACCCTGGGATATTAAACTGGGATATTAAACCCTGGGATAATAAACCCTGGGATATTAAGCTGGGATATTAAACCCTGGGATATTAAACCGGGATATTAAACCGGGATATGAAACCGGGATATTAAACCGGGATATGAAACCAGGATATTAAACCCTGGGATATTAAACCGGGATATTAAACTGGGATGTTAAACCCTGGGATATTAAAGCAGGATATTAAACCCTGGGATATTAAACCGGGATACTAAACTGGGATATTAAATCGGGATATTAAACTGGGATATTAAATCGGGATATTAAACTGGGATATTAAAACCTGGGATATTAAATCCGGATATTAAAGCAGGATATTAAACCCTGGGATATTAAATCCGGATATTAAACCCTGGGATATTAAATCGGGATATTAAACTGGGATATTAAACCCTGGGATATTAAATNTATTAAACCCTGGGATATTAAACCCTGGGATATTAAATCAGGATATTAAACCCTGCGATATTAAACTGGGATATTAAACCCTGGGATATTAAACCAGGATATTAAATTGGAATATTAAACCCTGGAATATTAAACCCTGGGATATTAAACCAGGATATTTAATCGGGATATTAAACCGGGATATTAAACTGGGATATTAAACCCTGGGATATTAAACCGGGATATTAAACCCTAGGATATTAAACTGGGATATTAAATCAGGATATTAAACCCTGGGATATTANCTGGGATATTAAACCCTGGGATATTAAACCGGGATATTAAACCCTAGGATATTAAACTGGGATATTAAATCAGGATATTAAACCCTGGGATATTAAACCCTGGGATATTAAACCGGGATATTAAACTCTGGGATATTAAACCCTGGGATATTAAACCGGGATATTAAATTGGGATATTAAACCCTGGGATATTAAACCAGGATATTAAATCAGGATATTAAACCCTGGGATATTAATCCAGGATATTAAACCAGGGCCAGGGCTCCTACTGGGATGAGTTGGATGAACTGCCAGGAAAACCAATCGGATTTTTGGGAATGTCGGTGGATGAGAGTCCAGCAGCGAGAGAGAACCGCCCTGAGCAGGGATTTGTGTTTGGAATCCTTTCCAAACCCTTTCCAGGTGGGATTCCCTGGATGGAATTTTGGGGGGTCTGTCCCTCCAAAAGCCACCTCTGAGGGTGCCCTCGGTGCCACTCCAGGGCCAGAAATCCGAATTCCAAGGGCAGATCCCTTCCCCATCCTGCCCCTTCCCAGCTCCCACCCCCAGGAAGAGATGGAAACCCCTCATCCCGAGTGCCAAATCCATGGATCTGTCCCACCTCTGACAGCTCCAAATCCATGGATCTCTCCCAGCTCTGACAGCCCCAAATCCATGGATCTGTCCCACCTCTGACAGCCCCAAATCCATGGATCCATCCCACCTCTGACAGCCCCAAATCTGTGGATCTCTCCCACCTCAGACAGCCCCAAATCCATGGATCTCTCCCACTTTTGACAGCCCCAAATCCATGGATCTCTCCCACCTCTGACAGCCCCAAATCCATGGATCT